TTGTGTGGAGACACGAAGGGCTCGTTAGGGACAATTTCAGTGTTCCAAAACTGTCTCTCACTGAAATAAGATGTTTAACAGAGACTGGATGCAGAATTTTTTTTTTTTTTTTTTTTTCTTATTACAGATTGAGTAATTGCTCAATTCTGAGTTGAAGGTATTACATACCTGTTGCCCACATATGCAGGGAAAAAAAATTCACCTCTTATTGACAGAGCTAAAATAAAAACGGCCTAAATTTGAAACTGAACTCTTAGCACAGATGTACACAGACCTCACTGATGAGAAAGGAGCATCCTTCACCTGATAAATTCCTGGATTTGACGTCTAAAAAATATTTTTTAATTCAGTTTTTAAGTAGTCACATAATTTCCAGCAGGACTTATTCAGCCTAATAACTGTTTCAATAGAAAAACACGAAAGGATTACTGTGCCAACTTATGTGAAAACCCACCATCTTAAGTTAATAAATTAATAGTTTAAGAACTTACCAAAAAGGGCAAGATTAACAGGTAAATCGACAGTTAAAGCCCATCTAACTGCACTAAGCAGACCGAGCAATGAAACGGCCGCACCACACGAAGCGGAGGAGCCGGTCCTTCCGTAAGGACGCAGGGCCCGCGACGCTGCCTGAGCACCGTTACACATGCGGACTCCAGTCAGCGAGGCTTGTTATGCACCAAATGTAATCAAAGATAATTCAGGAGTGACAGGCCACACGTATCTGAGCAGTGATACAACATAATAAAGAATTTATTTACTGAGAAACTAAGTATTATGTTAAGAAACAGGATGTGCACTGTTTCTATCGACTATGATTAATCTTATAATAGTGACAACAGAAATAAGCTGTGATTTTTAAAATGTACAGAAGCAATAGTCCAAAATTTTTAATTTAAAAAGTTGTTTAGATAGAGGAAATAAGTACAAAAACACATTTTTAACTGGTTTATTAAGCAAAGAAACACTCTTGACAGCTAATTGAATTGGTATTTGTTAAAAAGAATATCCTTCAAGGTTTAATTTAAAGTATTCTCAGCTCTCTTCCTTGAAGAAAACTGCTAATCTTTTCCTTATCATTGAAGGATTAGCCCTTAAACTGA